ATCTGACCTGACCCCTCTCCAGCTTCAATCCATTCCCTCTAGTCCTGTCACTGCCCGACACCCTCACAAGCCCCTCCCCAGCTTTCTTGTAGCCCCCTTGAGATACCGGAAGGCACAATAAGGTCTCCTCGGAGCCTTTTTTTCTCCGAACAGCCCCAACTCTCTCAGTCTGTCTGCACAGGAGAGGTGCTCCCGCCCTCATCATCCTCGTGCTCCTTCTCTGGACACGCTCCAGCACGTGGATAATCTCTAAGATCCCTTCTTCCAGCCTAGGCCATTCTATGATTCTACGATTCTGTGATTTTGGCCTCAAAGACAGGAAATCAGTAATGCCAGCTTCCCTCTCTTTAAGGAGTAAGTGCAGAGCAAAAATGGAGCTCAGGTGACCTTACCTCGCCCTGCATGTCCTCAGCGCTCACAAGGTTCTGGGAGAGACTGGGAAGGAGGGGAAAGATTTGTAGAAGCTGGCGGCAGCTCTGCCTGTCAGCACATCCCGGTCTTCAGTTTTTTCTGTAGCATCATGGGCTGCCGCAATCCCGGCAACGGTTTTATTCTGTTGCCTGGGCAGCAAGAGCGGGTAAAACACGCAGCAGGCAACCCTGTCGTAGTGCTGGGAGAGCTCGGGTGAGCTGCGGGATGAGCCGTCAGAAGTTGAGTGAATATTGTTTCCTTGAGTCTCCTTTAGTAAGGAAAAAACCTCCAGCAGTGAGAGGTGGGGATTATTTATAGTACAGGCAACGTGTCTGATGTGATGAAGAAACAGAGTCGGGCTTTCTCCGTGATAGGGGAAGTTAATTGTTTTTGTCGATGTTCACTTAGACAGTTCAGGGAGTTTTGTTTTGTATCAGCCTGGAAAAATCTCTTGATTTAGTTAAAAACATCAAGGTTGCTATATCAGAAAATCCTTCTTTCACAGGACAAATTGACTGAGGTATTTCCACAAATAATTATTGTTTCCGATGCTGGGACCCTCTGCAGGAGTTGCAGTGGTGTTATCTTTCCGGTCAGTATTGCTTCGCTGGGAAATACCTGCTCACAGTGGCCCAAAAATGTCTTAACCCATCCAGCTCTGCTTTCACTGAGGTCGGCACATTTTTCTTTTTGTGGAGGGGGGAACGGTGCTTTCATAATCTGCTTTCAGCACAGTGGTATCCAAAGGAGGAGCTGAATTTTATGTTGGTATCCACCTTTGCGTTCACTGCCTTAAAATGAGAATCCACGCTTAGCCTCAGAAAATAGATTCATGTTTTTCTGCAAGAGGAGTTCATGCGGTGGAAAAAGAAATCAATTTCCACTGGCTATAGAACCTGGTACCCCTATCATAAACAGCATTTTAACTGGGCTGTGTGCGTTACATGTCCTTCAGGTCAGACTTTTAGCTCATGTATAATCTTTTTTCATGTGACTAGTGCAATTTTCCATCCAGGTATAGATGCGGAAATGAAGGGAGCGAAGGCGGGAAGTGTGACACAATCCAATCCTAACCTAATCACATCTACTCATCTCTTTTGCCGCCGTTGAGAATACCAGCTTTGCTGCTGTCCCTAACGGTGACGGTTCCGCCGATATTGTGTCATCCTTCAGAGGGCAGAGCCTTGGAACAGAGAGCTGGTGTTTTTGTTATGTCGAGCTCATGTGGATGAACTTTGTAGAGTAAGGGTTGGACTCAGTGATCCCAAGGGTCTTCTCCAGCCTCAGTGATTCATGGCGATACATTTGGGGAAGTAAGATTCTGCATACTCCTCTTGTTGTTCAGTGTCATCATCATCATCATCATCATCTCTCTCATAATTTTACCATTCTTAACAAGTTCTCAGCGCTGACTTGCCTTTTTAGTCTGCAGTCCTGACCCAATGGTCAGCTTTCGCTTTCTCTCTTTCCTCTCTCACTTTGCAACTTCTACCTTTTCTACGTCGCTGGAGCCTGTCACGCTGGGGCAACTAATTCAGATGAAGCGGTGGACTTGGATGAAATTTTGGCCAGGTTGAAGGGACCTCTGGAAAGCATCTAGTCCAACCACCCTGCTCAAGCAGGGTCAGCCCAGAACCTCGTCCAGTCAGGCTTTGGAATCCTGTTGTCATAAGAGCAATGAGTTCCATTCTATCAGACAACCAACCTGAATTATATCTGATGTAAGGAAAAAAGTAGGGTAAAAGGGGGAAAAAAAAACCCCTGTTGAAGTGCATTCAGCTGCTGTTATATATTCTTGTCCTCCAGGGACCACAGCGTTTCGTTCTTTATGAGGAGAGCGTCAGAGTTTTGCTCCTCTGGGGAATTACAGAGGCGACCAAACTGGGACACGGTGGCCTGGCCCCGATCTATGAAA